CAAACCCACCCAATTCCCACCGGCTCCCCGCTCTGCGCCCCCCGTTTCCCCCCAAGGTGGACAATTCCTCGCTGACGGGGGAGTCGGAGCCGCAGACGCGCTCCCCGGAGTTCACGCACGAGAACCCCCTGGAGACGCGCAACATCTGCTTCTTCTCCACCAACTGCGTCGAAGGTGGGCACCCGACGTCCCCCCTCGGCCCCGGCGGCGCCCCTGGGCTCTTTGTCACCCTCGTGTCACCCCAGGGACCGCGCGGGGCATCGTCATCTCCACCGGGGACCGGACGGTGATGGGCAGGATCGCGTCGCTGGCCTCGGGGCTGGAGGTGGGGCGGACGCCCATCGCGATGGAGATCGAGCACTTCATCCGCCTCATCACCGGCGTGGCCGTCTTCCTCGGCCTCTCCTTCTTCATCCTCTCCCTCATCCTGGGCTACACCTGGCTGGAGGCCGTCATCTTCCTCATCGGCATCATCGTGGCCAATGTGCCCGAGGGGCTGCTGGCCACAGTCACGGTGAGGGGCTGGGAGCACTGGGAGGGCACTGGAAGGGCACTGGGAGGGCACTGGAAGGGCACTGGGAGGGAAATATGGGGCAGTGGGGGCACTGTCGGGGGGGTTCCATCATCATCTTCCTCACGGGCATCATCGTGGCTAGCGTGCCCCAGGGGCTGCTGGGGCACCCTCATAGTGAGAGAGGGCAATGGGAGTACTGGGAGGGAACTGGGAGGGAACTGGGAGGGAACTGGGAGGGAACTGGGAGGGAACTGGGAGGGACTGGGAGGGACTGGGAGCACTGGGAGGGAACTGGGATGAACTGGGAGCACTGGGAGCAGCTTCCGGGTTGAGACTGGGAGCCTGAGAGGGGTTACTGGTTTATACTGGGAGCACTGGGAGCACTGGGAGGGGTTACTGGTTTGTACTGGGACAGAACTGGTCTATACTGGGAGCCCAACAGGGGTTACTGGTCCATACTGGTCCATACTGGTTTATACCGGTCCATACTGGTTTGTACCGGTCCATACTGGTCCATACTGGTCCATACCGGTCCATACTGGTCCATACTGGTTTATACTGGTCCATACTGGTCCATACTGGTTTATACTGGTTTATACCGGTCTGTACTGGTCCATACCGGTCCATACTGGTTTATACTGGTCCATACCGGTTTATACTGGTCCATACTGGTCCATACCGGTCCATACTGGTCCATACTGGTCCATACTGGTCCATACTGGTTTATACCGGTCCATACTGGTCCGTACTGGTCCATACTGGTCCATACTGGTTTATACCGGTCCATACTGGTTTGTACCGGTCCATACTGGTCCATACTGGTCCATACCGGTCCATACTGGTTTATACCGGTCCATACCGGTCCATACTGGTTTATACCGGTCCATACTGGTCCATACTGGTCCATACTGGTCCGTACTGGTCCGTACTGG